ATTAAGGAAATAGCCACGGTCATGTGCTACTTTGGCAGCCATCACAGGACTAAGATGGGAAGGAAGGCAGTGATGGAGACAGTGGCCCAGGAACCCAGGTGTAGGGGAGAGGGTGGGATAGACTGGGAACATGCCGAGCCAAGTGGAGGAGCCAGTAAACCCACCAGAGGTCAGGTGGAGCCACTCAGCAGCCCCCTGCACAGAGGAGGATCCACTGACATCCCACCCAGGGAGAAGGTGTTTGAGTACTGAGCCCTCTCAGCAACTTAAATGTTGGGTGGAGGGAAAGAGGCCCACACGGGAGACAGCCCACAGTGGACTCACATGACTTAGAAGACAGCACCTTGACCAGGAAGTAGCATCTACAGGACCCAGCATCCCGAGAGAGGAGAAGTGAGCAGAGAGCAGCAGGGGATGGGGAGGCAGTGAAAGCCCCCACCAGAGGTAGGCAGGGAGGTGGCAGGACAAACGGAGGAAGCAGGGAGGATGGTGGCTTGCAGGGGGCATTGGTATCAGGGATGGGCTTAGGATGGGAGGCCAGAGCATTGTGTAGGTGGAAGCTAGAGGGAGAAAGAAGGCCCCAAGGGAGGAATGGTGGGGGAGGGGGTCGGAGGGTCAACAGAAGTGGAGTCAGGACCACACTGCCCATCCCCACTTTTTCAGAAGGTCAAGTCTTAATGTGGAATGAAACCCACAGTGGTTTTCCTTTTGGGGGTTTTGCTGAAGTTAATTTGGTGGCTAGGTGAGGGCCCAGAGGCTTGTTAAGGGGCAATTCTAGATTTGGATTCGGTGGTTCCCTGGAAAGAGTGGTTTTCCCCTGGTCGCCATCAGCATGCCAAGAGAAGAGTCCTACAGCCCCTGCTTGGGGGGCACCCACCTCATTGGCGGGGAAGAGCCCACTTAGCCAAAAGGCTGCTGGAGACAGGTGGGCAGGATGGGTGTCCCTTCCTCTTTCCTTCTGTCTTCCCTGCTGGCCTTGGTGCTGGGCACTTACCTTCGTGCTCCCCTTTAAGAGGACATTGGCAGCTAGGAGACCCGAAGTACCCATGACAACAAAGCTCCTTAGCAGGCCAGAGGCCCTGGTTCTCCTGCATCTGTGTCTGAGCAATTTGGGCAGTCATCTCAACAAAGTTGAGGCCACAAGTTGGCTGGTGGGGGTGGGGAGACGGGGGCATCCATCAGGACAGAAAAGCAGGTGCCCCGTCCCTTCCAGTGAGAATGCCACACGCTCCTTGGAACCTGCAACCACCGGTAAGCCCATTCCCTCATGGAACCAAAACCAGGGAACAAGGAGGGAGGCTGAGACAGAGAAGGAAACAGGAAGTCTGTGGCCGAGGAGACCTGGAGCCCACGGCGTGCCCACTCCCACCCTGTGCTGTCCCCAGGAGGCAGTGCACGCTCCCAAGAAGTCTGGGTGATCCTCCAAGCCCCACAGAACCCCAACCCAAGGCCCTGCTGGTGGGAAAGAGTCAAAGCCAGGCAGATGGGGGGATGTTCCCAGCCCGCCGCCTAGGGCCTGGAGCCGGATTCATTGCTCCGTTCTGAGTCCCAAGGACACACCGGCCGGGTGCTTGCTTTATGCTGCTTGCTGCGGGAAGCTGCTTCCCAAGTGGAGGAAGTGGGCAGACCTTAGCTAGCATGCTGGATGCACATGTTGATTTCTATCTCAGTAGTTCTTAACATCAGTGCATATTAGAAAAAGATAAAAACTGGCACTTGGGTGACTCAGTCAGTTAAGCGTCCGACTCTTGATTTCAACTCAGGTCATGGTCTCAGGGTCGTGAGATGGAGCCCCACGTTGGACTATGGGCTCAGTGTGGAGTCTGCTTGAGATTCTCTTGTTCTCTCTCACTCTCTCTCTCTCTCATTCTCCCCCCTGCCTCTCTCACTGCTTGCGAGCCTGCACACGCACTCTGTCTCTCTCTCTCTCTCTCTCTCTCAAATACGTAAATAAAATCTTAAAAAAAAAAAACTAACCTATAGAATATACTTCTGAATATATTATTGTTAGTGATACTACATTTCCTTTCTCTTAAAATAAGTTTAAGTAGGTATAAGTCCAAAGAAAATCATAAAGTCAGTTGTGGCACAGGTGGTATCCAAACCCAGCCAAATTTTCACATCATTTTTGCGCACCTGCTGTGTGCCCCGCAGGGTTCTGCAGATGCAGTGGTGAACGAAAGTTATGCCTGTGGCAGGTATATGAGTGGCTGAGGCCCAGGAGGCACTGCTCTGGGGCCCCCTTTCCTGTTTGCAGGGGAGAGGAACGGGATCACAGATTTGTTGACAATCCAGAAAACAGGCCTCTGCCCTTCTCCGGCTTCTTGAGAGGGCAATCTGTTTCCTGTCCAGGAAGCAGGAGAGGAGGAACAGTAGCAGGACACAGAGACAGGGCACCCCTGGCTCCCATCACGATCATCCCCGTTGTTTCCTGGCTCAAACGCAACAGAAGGTTCTTTCCTGCCCATCTGATAGTCTAGGGCAGGTGCTCTGGGTGGGTGGCTCTCCTCCGCGTGGTGATTCATGGGCCAGCTCTTTCCATCTTATGGCACTACCGCCGCCCAGGACTTTGTCATCACGTGCATTCAGGGGGACACACTTACATCTTGGGAGCCTTGGCCAACAGGCGACGCACTTCACTTTCATACTCCATCGACTCTAGTTCAGTTACAAGGCAGGTGGTGGCCTGCAGAAGGGTCTCTAACCCAGCGGCCACTAGAGGGCTTCCTTCCCCTTACCAGGTTGTGTAGCCTGGAGGAAAGAACTCCTTTTTCCTAACCCCGACAAAGGTGCTATGGGGCTGGCTTCTACCTGGCTGGGACCAGAGCAGAGGACGTGGGAAAGGAGAGAGAGGAGACAGAGGGACAGAAGAAAGCAAGAGTGGTCTGGGAGGGGAGAGGAACCTGAGCCCAGGAAGCACCGGATGGCCTCCTTTGAGCCCGTGCCATTTCAGATTGTGAGGGCTGGCTTGAGCCCCTGCACACCTCGTCCCACGGGGGTAGGGGTGTTCCACCGCCCACCCTCTCCTCAGTGAGCCCTGTGCAGCAGACTTGAGCCTCAGGCTCTGAGGCCCCTGACCACCCTCCCATGTCCAGGTCTGTGCAGCTAGGGCCTTGTCCTTACCCCATGCCCTTGATCACCCAGGGTCAATGTCAGGAAGACGAGGACAGCAGGGCCTCAAGAGAGGGGAGGCCATGTACCCTGGTCCCATGCCTTGGAGAGAGCCTCTGAGGTGGCACCCAGGATGGAGCAGCTCTCATCCCCCTGGCCCCGAGCTGCCTGCAGACCCCACGAGGTGCAGTGCTCCATCCTCCCCTCACTGCTGACCTCACGTGAGAGACAGGCCCTTTCACCCAGTTCCCAGCCTCCCTGCCCCATGCTCCTGTCTCAAGACCAGGCACTGGGGGCCCGGGGAGCCGGCCTCCAGCCTGGTCCCACCATGCCTTCCGCCTCCTGCCGCCCCCAGGGTGGCCCACTGGCGCCCTGCCCAGCCCAGCTGGGGCACAGCCACGGCTGCCACTCTGCCTCACCAGTGTTTTGGTTGACGAGACTATTTGTCACCCTTGTTTTTTACCACCTGTTGCCATCCCACCCGCCTCATGTGTAAACAGTGCCAGCATCAACATGCTAACACTGGGTCCCGGAGTGGGCACCTCCTGGGAGCACTGTCCCCTTAGCGGTGGGGCTCAGGGAAGCCCAGGGTGGCAGCCTTCCCAGACCCCGCCCTCAAGGAGAAGCCAGGAGACCAGGACTCAGGCCAGCGCCGCCCCCAGGCTTGCTGGGTGACCTCGGACAAGGCCCCACCTCCTTTACCCACGCCTCAGTTGTGCCCCCAGAGCATGACGTGGGAAGCAGAGCTGTGCAAGCTCTGGAGCCAGAGAGCTGGTGTTCAAATCCCAGCTGCACCAACCTGCCAGCTGAGTGACCTTGGGCCATCTCACAGCCCATCCAACCTCTGGTTTGTCTCTTTATAAAAGGACCAAACGGTAATACTTACGAACATTAAATGAACTAAAGTCCACGGGAGCGCTCGCTAAATATTGGCTACTGTGGTTATGTCTCGGGACCCCTCCTTGGCAGGCATGTCCGTGAGTGTGTCTCTGTGTGGGGGACGGTATTCCCAGCTCCAGTGCTCACCCTGGACACAGCAGTAGCCTGGACTTGCTGATCCTCTGGACCCGGTTGGTTTGGCCTTCCCTGGGCCCTCACCCCAGAGGTTCCTCCTGAACCCCAGCGCTGGCAGCTGTCCACCACCACTGGCAAAAACTTACAATTCTCCATTTTCTAACCGAGAGGTATTGGCTGTGGCTCTGTGTCCCACCTCTCAGCCCGCAGGGGGTGTGACTCAGTCACACTTATGCAGGTGGAGCCCTCATCAGTTCCCTCTTATCCTGCTCGGGGAGCCCCCATGCCCGGGGTGGGGGGTGCGTGCTGCCCTTCTGTGCAATGAGACAGTGCGAGTGCTGAGAGGAGATGGTGGACAGAGTCACTACGTTTACTAACACGGCTTCGCCAAGTCAGAACGCGATTCCTTCCTCTCGGTCAGCCTGCGAAGCTCAAGAAGAAAGTTTCAGGCTGGCTCTAGTATCCCCTTAACAGCTCTGAACGCTCCCCCTTGTTAACAAAGACAAAACGGCTTCAGGCCGAAAGCCTTCAGCAGGCAGCGGGATCTTGCGAGAATTTAACGTTAGTGTCAGCTTTCGCTGTCGTCGTTCTCATGGGTGTCTTCCATTTTTGAATACTTCACACAGGCTTTTCATTGACTGTAAGGATATGAGGCTTATAAAGCACAAAGATGTGTCCAAGAAAATTAATAACTGGTAGTCATAGATGAAACAGGACTTTTGTAGAAGTTATAAAGATGCTAGGGGAGAATGTTTGGGAAAGAATGATCTGGTCTAGTGGTTCTCAAACTTTGTGGTTTGGGGACCCCTTTAAACTCTTAAAAAATTATGGAGGACCCCAATTTTCTTTATGTAGGCTACAGCTATCAAGTTTTATTGCTCACTTCAGCAGCACCTATACCTAAAAATTTGGAACGATACAGAGAAGATTAGTATGGCCTCAGCACAAGGCTGACACGCAAATTTGTGAAGCGTTCCACATTTTATTTTCTGCTTCTATCTTGTTTTGTTCCCCCCCCCTTTGGGGAGGGGGTATTCCTAGAACAGTGCCTGGCACATAATAGGTGCTCAATAAATATTTGTTTGTTGAAAAAAAATGAAAACCAAGAAAAATTTTAAATCTTCATTCATTTAAAAATAACTATGATAAACCTATTACACATAAACAACATTTTTATGAAAAATTATTCTGATTTCTAAAAATGTAGTAAGAAGAACATCATTGTTTTGTATTTTTGCAAATCTCTTTAATGGCTGGCTTAATAGAAGACAGCTTGATTCTCATATGTGCTTCTGCATTCAGTCTGTCATGATTCGTTGTTTTGGTTGAAGAATAGGAATCAAATTTGGCCCCACATAAACACATATTTCAAAAAGGAAGGAATGTTTTACTAGCCTTTTCAGATAATTCTTCTTTGAAACTTACCCAAACTGGACAAGTGGTGGTTTCTGAAAGGATGGTTGCAGTCTGAAACTATAGCAGGGACCTGTCCCTGTGCTGTCACATCAGAATCCCTCAGTCTCTTTGACAAATGTTGCTGGAACAACTGGGACATCACATACCAAAAAAAAACTAAAAAAAAAAAAAGAGTCTAAATACGGGCTTTCCACTTTTCATAAAAATTAACTTGAAATGAATCACAGGTAGATCTAAATGTAAAAGGCAGCACTATAAAACTCCTCAAAGGGAATATAGGAGGAAATCGAGATGAACTTGGATCCGACGATGACTTGTAGACACAACACCAAAGTCACAATCCATAAAGGAGTAGATAAACTGCTCTTCATGGAAATTTAAAACTGCTCTGTGAAGGCCGCCGTCAAGAGAAGAAGAAGCAGGGGCCAGGACAAAATATTTTCTAAAAGCATGTTTACTGGAAGACTGGTGTCCACGATAATCAAAGAACTCTTCAAACTCAACGGTAAGAAAACAACCCAACTTAAAAAAAACCGGGGCCAAAGATGGGGCGCCCAGGTGGCTCAGTGGGTTAAGCCACTGCCTTCGGCTCAGGTCATAATCTTGGGGTCCTGGGATCGAGCCCCGCATCGGGCTCTTTGCTCAGCAGGAAGCCTGCCTCTCTCTCTCTCTCTCTCTGCCTGCCTCTCTGCCTACTTGGGATCTTTCTCTGTCAGATAAATAAATAAAATCTTAAAAAAAAAAAAAATGGGCCAAACTCCTAACAGACACACTGTGAAAGAAGATGTACAGATGGCAGAGAGCGTACAGCATCTCCACATCATATGTCATCAGGGAAATGCAAATTAAAACAACAAGCTACCACTACGCACCTAGTAGAGTGGCCAAAATCTGGAACACTGGCCACTCCAAATACTGACGGGGACGTGGAGCCACAGGGCTCTCGCTCGTTGCTGGGGAAACGGCAAAATGGCGCCACACTTTGGAAGACAGTTTGGCAGTTTCTTATAGAATGAAACCTACTCCTCCCACAGGATCCAGCCATCAGGCTCCTCCATATTGTCTCCAAAAATGTGAAAACTTTTGTCCGCACAGAAACCTGCACGTGAGTGTTCATAGCAACTTTATTTGTAACTGCCAAAGCTTGGAAGCAACCAGGATACCCTCCAGCAGATGAGTGGAGAAGGAAACTGGTCCATTCACACAATGGAATACTGTTCCACACTGGAAGAAAATGAGCTCTTAAGCCACAAGACATGATGGAGGAAGCTTCGATGCACATATTACTAAGTGAAAGAAGCCGATCTGAACAGGCTGCCTACTGTATGATTCCAACCGCGCAATAGTCCGGAAACGGCGGAACAACGGGGACGGTGAAAAGATCAGAGTGGTTGCCAGGGGTGGGGGAGGGGAAGGGATGAACAGGCAGAGCACGGAGGGCTTTCGGGGCAGAGGAAATACTCTGTGCGAGTCCGTAACTCTGGATTCAGAGCATTATAAATTTGTCCAAATCCACAGAAGGTACAATATCCAAGAGTGAACCCCAAGGCTAACTACAGACTTCGGGTGAGTGTGATGTATTCACGTCGCATCATCCTTGGCAACAAACGGACCACTTTGGTGAGGGATGTGGACAGCGGAGGGGGCTGGGGTTGTATAGGAAACCTCTACCTTCCTCTCTGTTTTGTTATAAACCTAAACCTGCCCTTCAAAAGTAAAGTCTCTTGGGCGCCTGGGTGGCTCAGTGGGTTAAGCCGCTGCCTTCGGCTCAGGTCATGATCTCAGGGTCCTGGGATGGAGGCCCGCATCGGGCTCTCTGCTCAGCGGGGAGCCTGCTTCCTCCTCTCTCTCTCTGCCTACTTGTGATCTCTCTCTGTTTCAAATAAAGAAAATCTTAAAAAAAAAAAAAGAAAGAAAAAAAAGAAAAAAAAAGTAAAGTCTCTTGAAAACATCCATTGATCTGCTTTGCGCGTTGGATGGTTCTCTTAACCACGCATGATTTTTTAACACCGTTTGGGGCATTTGGAAAATGCTAGTTCAGAGTTACACGGATCTTCCAAATGTTGACACGTTTCAGCACACAGGATTAAAAACTCATATGTTTGTTAACGTCAACACCCACCTCATCAGAAAAGCCTCCAGGTACTGGGAAGCTGTGAAGATCATGATGGTAAACACAGGTTTTCCAAAATTCTTTCACTTGAAAGCTGGAATTTTTTTTTTCTTTTCATTTTGGTGACAGATATGTTCATTGTTTTCCTTGAAATGATGGGCTCGCTTGGTTTGTTTTTAGAAATGTCTTCCAGAGACCAGATCAGAATTACCATTGTCTGTCTGTCAGGCATTCTTTTAAATGAAAGTGGTGTCCCACGAAGAAAGGCACTATTTTCACTGGCAGCTCAGTCTTGCAAGTGCTTTTCCTCCAGAAAACCATCATCCTTTGGTTTGCAGAAGCGTTTCATGCATGCTTCCCATTTCATCCCACAGAATATGAAAAAGATGGGTACTCGGGGTAGAGATCGCTCTTTAATTCGTGATTTTTACTACTTCGTCAAGGGCATTCTTAAGTAAAAGTGGCATCTTCTGTGACCGGCCACGGGAATGCGTGGTGGCAGCTGGGACAGTCTGGTGGTCCTGCTTCCGGCTCAGGAGCTAGTGGTTTTCTCTCCTGTGGCTTTTGCACCTTTAGTGCAAGCTGTGATGCTATTAGAAAGGCCAAATATAGCGCCTTAGCGTCGTCCCGAACACAGTTTTGATCTTGTGGACCCCCACAAGGACTTTGGAGACCCCCAGGGGTGCAACCCACACTTTGAGAACCACTGGTGTAGCCAATCCCGTCCTCATGCCTTTGGGGACCCTGGGCCCCTGAGAGGAGCTGAGGCTTGCCCAGGGTCCCCGAGCAGGTTGGAGGCAGGGCCACATCTTCTGACACCTGAGGCACTGCTCCGGGCCATGTCCCTGAGATCCCGGAAGGAGGGTGACACGCTCCTTTTTGAACAAAGGCGGTATCTGATCAAAGTAATGGTGAACAAGTGCCTCCAGCAAGGGGACAAGGGGACAGGAAGGGGTATCAACGAATAAGCCTGGGGAGAGGCACCAGTCGGCCATACCTGCCCTCTTCCAGATTTGCCGGCCTTCTTCCAACCACTGCCATGTGTGTGGTGGTCCAACTTCCATCTTCCCTCTTCCATAATTGTGTTGCTAATATCTCCCAAGTGAGGCGGCTCTAATTAAACCATCATCACTTCGTGTTCTGACGAGACGAGGTTGGCCATTATCACTTTTCTTTCCCTTTGTCTGAGCTCTGTGTGGGTAATTTTATTCTGCCCTTGTTCATTTCTTAGAAATTTAGCCTCTCCAATTTTAGTTCTTTTCTCCTATCTTAGAACATTGTGCTCAGGAGAAAGGCGGCAGAGGGTGAGGGTATCACAGATTTGGAAATTTCTGTCCCGTTCACCTTAAAGTTTATTTTTGACTGAACAGTGCCTGCTTGGTAGTTCAGCTATCCCCCGCACCTCTGTCTAGGAGAGACGCCCAGGAGGTAAAGCCTGGCAGGTTCTGGACCCGCCAAGGAGAGAAAGGCACCAAGAGAAAGTGGTTGCCATGTCGGGCTGTCCCAAAGTGGGTGATGCTGGGACCTCTGGACCAGGGTGAGTCTCCACTTCATCCTCGAGGATCTGAGGTGATTGGAAGCCTCGGTGATGTAAACATACCATCAACTCCCGGCCAAGGGCCCTGGCAAGCCTCCTTCCTGCATCCCCCCATTTCTGCCAGTCACCTGCATGGTCTTCCCATCTGTGCACTGGCAGGCCTCCTCCACAGGTCTCACCCCACTCTGCATCGGCCTCAGCACCTCCCCACTCAGAAGCTGTGGACTGACTACTGCCCTTTACCCTCCTGTGGCTCTCCCCAGCCTCGCACTGGACACCCTGCAGGGGCGTCCTTGGGAGACAGATGAAACAAAGCAGCGCCATCTGAGAGCGGCAGAGCTGGGGCTGGGAGGGGATGGGCACTGAGAGGAGGGCAGGGGAGGCCAAGGGAGAGAGCGTCCCAGGCCCCGCACTCAGGGAGCATCAGCGTTCGCTCTGCGGGACTCTGACTTTCAGAGTTGTCCCAGCAGGGGACGGAGGCTGCCTCCAGCCCTCTCCCCGCGGAGGTGCACGCGTTCACACTAACCTGCTCAGGACAGATGCCCTACAAGATGCAGTCTGTGTGGGCGCCCCTTGGGCCCCCTGTGCAGGCAAGGTAGCTATTTCAAGTTTAATGTCTAAGGGCGACATGGACCTCCAGGCCTCAGGCCCAGCCAGTGGCCAGAGAGACATCTGACGTCCTCGAGGACACTCCCATTAGGGTCTCTGTCTTCCCTCTTTAATTCCCTCTTCAGGGAAGACCCGTCTCTGGACTGTGCCCTGCCTCCTGGGCATGGCTGACCCGAGTGCCTGTCCCCCGGACACACCTCTCTCACACCCCCACCCCCCACCCCAGTTTCTCCACCAGGCCCAGCACTTACTCAGTGTCCTCCTGCCAGGAGTCAGATTGGTTAATATGTCCAATGCCCCCACTGACTAC